TTTCTTAATTCTAAATAACCACTTGCAACTGATGGTAGTCCGTCCCGGAGGCAAAGTAACTAACTGCCACGTGCCATTTCGAACCAAAGCATCGTACTCTTCCAGGACAACTGCTTTCCACGTAGGAGAGGCCAACCCCTGATGAACCGTGATAGGTTCATCGCCCTCTATTAAAGCCTGAACAGAGAATACTTTAGGTTTGAAGATTCCATCTTTACTGCGAGTGATCATTGAGTGCACATTAGTGGGCACAGTAGGAGCATCACTAGATGAAGAAATATCCAAAGTGTTGTTATTATTGGTTGGTGCTTCACGTAAACCACGCACATCATCATTTAATGCCTCAGGAAATGCACTAGCAACTGAATTACTTGAATTGGGGCTTGGATCCAAAGAAATGTCACCCTGCATGGATCCAGTAGGCGTAGTATGGGGAGAAATAGAACAAGGTGAAGGACTGCCACTACTGCTCGAAGAACTATCAGTGTCCATATTACCATTCGAAAGTTGTGGAGGTGATAAAGACCCACTGGCACCATATCAATGTTAGTACGAGGTAGAGAGCAACTCGTAGAAGAATCAACCAAGTCAGTAGCCTTTTCTGCAAAAGGAAACACGTATTCATCAAACATTACGTGTCGGGGAATATAAATACGACCATTAGACGCCATACACAAGTAACCCTCATGTTGCACACTATAGCCAAGAAACGTGCATGCTTGCGATCGAAAGGTAAGTTTTTGTAATTCGAATGGACGAAGGCAGGGGAAGCATTTACATCCAAACACTCGTAAATGTTCATAACGAGGATTCCGACCGAAGAGCTTCATGAAAGGAGAAGAATTGTGAAGAACCTTCGTAGGCAGCCTGTTAATTAAGTATACAACTGTCACCACAGCATATGACCAATATGTCAAAGGTAGAGAGGCTTGAGCAAGTAACGTGAGTGCCATCTCAACACTATGTCGATGTTTACGCTCAACAACGCCATTTTGATATAGTTAGGCTTGAGCCTGTCGACACCTTGAAGCTCAAACTTTAAACTTGCTGAAATTGTAATTATGGAAGTAAGCTACACGTTTTATATCTCAACTCTCGCTTTTGTTCTGTTTTGATTTTTTTTAATTATTATTACTTTTTTCAAAAAAACATATATAACGCTACATTTCGATTTTATTTTTATTTTGTTCATCTGTTGTTAAAAAGTTAACAAAACTGTTAATATGTTATCTTTAATTTTTTTTTGTAATAATGATGTGATATTAGCTTATGCTGATATGTCAGTACTATCGTTAAATTTTTAGAGGGTGACCAAAATGAATAAAAATAATATTTGGGTATTAAATGTGTAATTTACCCTAAAATAATCACTCCCTTTATAATTATTAAAATTCTCCATTATTAATGCTGAATTTTTATTGAGGTGACTAAAATGGAATAAAAATAATAATTGGGTACTAAATGTGTAATTTACCCTAAATAGTCAATTCCTTTATAATTATTAAAATTGTCCATTATTAATTTTTTAAAAGTCAAATTTTACACTTTAATCAAAATTATTTTAAATAGTTAAATATTATAAAAATATATAACACAAAGTAATAACATAATACAAAATTAGTATACATAATTTTATTGGCTGGATAACACCAATATATCACATAATAATATATCTATATGAATAATTTTGATAAACAAATAAAATCATAAAATTCTAAACAATCGTGTAAATGCAACTATATTTTGATCCATACCAGAGCAATCACATAACTACAAGTACATTTCGGCATAAAAGATCATAATTTATATTTATACCAAACACTAAAATAATATAATATTATGAATACTATATTACTCCAACACAAAATCTGAACAATTCTCAAAGAATAAAACAATATATTTGGACAATTTTTAATTACTATTCAATAATAAGACATACTGATATAATAATAAATAATTTATACTTTTAATTATTTGGCATTGCTGCCTACTAAAAAAAAGAAATATAAAGGTGATATCCTTACTACAAATACAATTGACTCATTACACTATGGGATTGAGAGGTGTTAATAAAGTCGGGATTTTCTTCGGAGTTTTTGTTGTGGTCAATATTTCTATAATATTACTACGAATATGAAATTAACTTATTTTATTTGATATTACGAATTCTAAATAATTTTAAACGTATTTCCGCACTAACATTTACTTTTAACAAATCTTTAAGCAATGACTCGTTTATTCCATCAACGTTTTAATCTTACCAATTTTAGCACTAACATTTACTTTTAAGTGTAATTATATCACTCCGTCAATAATGATTTAACGACACGATGACATGACAGTTCCACGCCGTTACTTTACTAACGTGAATGTCTAACTAAAACAACGTCATTTCGATACAACTATTTGGGTGTTTGATAAACATAAAACGACATCGTTTTACTTAAAAAAAATATCAAAATATTATGCACCTAAACAGATTTGAATCACTATTTTTGTAGTAATAAAACTTAATGATTAAGCATTGGGCCAACCTCAATTTTTTTTATAAAAAAATTAAAATTGCAGTTAAGATTAATTCTAAAATTAAAAAAAAAGTACTAAACCTAAATTCTTCAATTATATTTCTCTCATTCCTGCATCTTCAATTCTTCATATGTATAGGGCATGCCTTTTTTTTTTGAATTAAATAAAAAGAAAAAGCATCAAAACTAATTATTCCTATCATGCATCGATAAGCCCTGGAACGCTTCTTGAAGTAAAGAAACTACAGCCAGCGGTGGAGTCTGATAAATATGCAGTCCGAAAGGTAAGGGCCGAACTAGCCGTGCCATGCTATCCTCCAGTCTATTCCTTTCCCGAGGTGTGTAGCTGAATTTCAAATTCCACCTATAGTGATTCTTAAATTCTTTTTTCTAGGACCATAATAGTTTAAGGACCATCTCTTGAAATTTATTTTTACACCTTCGATTCAATGGCCATCTCTTGAAATTTTATTCTTTTAATTTGAACATGGATGGCAACAAAGATGATGCCTTGAAATGTTTGAAAATTGACAAAGATGGATTCAATAGGCACGGTCATTATCTCTTGTTGCTGCTGATCAACTTCAATTTTATACCTTCGAAGTTTTTTTTCTTCAATTTGCAGTCGTAGAACAAGATCCGACCTAATCCTTTTCCTTTCCAAATTTACCGCTAATAAGCCGACAATTTTCCTTAAACTTTCTGATCGTTTCTTGCTAAGGACTTCAATCCCTTCCTCAAAGAGAAGATCTTTGACATCATATGCCAAAGTCAGATTATTGTTGCCGTTAGGCATAGCTGAACCATATGAATTGTGTTTCCTCACCAAAGCTCGTCGGCTTGACCCATCACTTCCCATCGACAATTTTGTTATCTGCAGCTGCTGAAGCGAAATCCAATGATCGATCGATCCTGGAACCTCCTCCTGATTCTTCTCAATCCAAGCCGTCTGATAAATCCCCAATTCGTCAGAGGAATCCACCGTCTGGCTCGGCTGCTTCTTCCTCCTCCTCTCCGACGACGGCTGCAGATACATACACCGAAAAGTAAATCGTGATCGTAAATCAAATCAAGAAGAAGAATTTACATAAAATTTTTGGATTTCCGTTGAGGAAGTGAGAAAATACAATTTGTAAATTTTAGGTTTATTTTTTTAGAGTATTTAAAATTTTAGAATTAATCTTAACTGGAGTTTTAGCTTTTTAAAAATTATTATAGAAAAATAATAACTAATTTTAAGGTAGTCTATTTTCATATGTATAAGGTTCAAATATCCTCAATCACTATATTTTAATAATTTATTTTCAAGTCGTTTTATGTTTATTGAGCATCAAAATAACTGTGTCGAAACGACGTCGTTTTGATAATGAATTCACGTCAATAATGTCACGGCGTGAAGTTTTTTTTATCATCGTTCTGTTAAATTATTAACAGTTGAGTGATATAATTGTATTAAAAAGTAAACGTTAATATTAAAATTGATAAAATATAATTTTTATTGATATAAACGAATTAACACTGAAAGATTAATAATGTATTTAAAAATAAATGTTAATATTAAAATTAACAAAATTAAAACATTAATAATATAAATGAATCAACGTTTAAATATTATTAATATTTAACGTAGTTTACACTTTTTTTTCCTCGGTTCAGATCGGTCATATATAATGGTCAAGGTCAAATTTTAAACCCATAAAAAGCACGTAGCATCAATCGCTCCAAACGAGGTTCTCTTTTAAGTTTATAAAAAAACGAGTTGTACTTCTATTTTTTTTATTTTTCATGTCACACTAATCAATAAATGTGTATTATTTTTATAATTGATCTTTAAAATATGTTATTTTCTTATATAATTTAGAGGGTAATATATATTTTTTGAATAAAGTCAATCAAACTAAGACACCTCTTTATAAGTTTACATGAATATAAAGAAAACAATACAACAAAATTCACATTACTTAGTATCCTGAAATGTAAAAAAAAAAAAAAAAGGTGGAGAATCAGCAACAAAATTAAAAAAAAAACATTCCGGTTCCAAAGCCAGGGAAGGGCTTTGCTTCTCACTCCAAACAAATTCATGAAAACAAATCAACCATTAATTAAAGTTTCCAAAGCCGGTCGGGTTGTTTTTTTGGACAAAAAGATAATAAAAAGCATCCCAATTTCAGGGCCACTGCTCCTTTCCTCTTTAATGGTAAGGACAGACAAGAACATGATATTACTACTACTACTACTACCACCCATCATCCAATTCCCTTTCCAGCTATTTCCATTTGTTTTTTTAGCCTCTTCAATTTCTTTTCAGGATAAGAAATCATCATAACCATGGTAATTAAATTGTCAACCACCTACCATTCATTGCATTCCCGGAATCGACGAACCTTAATTGTTTACACAATTTCGATGAAATTGCGCTTACTGAAAATGGTTTTTTTTTTTGGATATCTAGAATTGAAATGAGGAAGAAAAAGATTAAAAGATATCAAGAATTTCTAAGATGGAGGCATTGCAAAGTGGGCAGTCGCCTCGCTGAACCCAGAGCTCCCTTGAACAGGCGCGGCAAAATGTATGGCCGCATGGAATAAACGCCGCCCCTTTTTGCCTAACCATGCAAACGCAACAAGCGTGCTCCTTCCGCCCTATTGTTTCTTCCATTGCTTCTTCTTCCTCCTCCGCCGCTACCTCGTACTTGTAACCGTCGTCGCTTATGAGGTAACTCGTTCCCATCAGCCCCATTTGTTGGGTTGTTTCTTCCAACAATTCCATTAGTGACATTCTTACCGGCTCCTCCGCCGCTGGCGGAACACTATTCACTGCCGTTACAGCTTGTTCCGCCGCTGCTGGCGGCACATTTCCCGCTGCCGCGGCGGATGCTTCTGCTGCTTCTCTCAAAGACGATGCCCTTTCCTCCGCCGATATCGCTGCCAGCCGGCGAGTGCCGTGACGAGTCAGAGGAGAGTCATCGTCATCGCTGCTGTCAACGTTGAATACGGCGGTTACCGAGGAAGTCAAACGATTTGGATCGTCGCGGTTAGTTTGTTGCCGGAAGCTTCTCGACGGCGGAGCGTCACTAGGAATGATTACATCAGCCGAATCATCGTGAGACAGCTGCACCGGATTGTGCCCAGCCCTAACCGAATCCATCCGCGCCATTTGCAACAGAGAGTTCATAACCGGCGGATCTGAAACCGGGGCACGTTCCACTCCATCATCAACCCGAGTCGAGCCATCCGGGTCAGAACGAAAAGAACCGCTCCTTGGTAACTGAGATCTATCACTATGGACATTATCATCAGAATCCGGAATAATAACCGAGGAGGACCAAGCAGTGGCCGGCCGCTTGAGCCGGATCTTGTCTCGAAACGCCTTCCAACTCTTCTTGTCCTTATTGGACCCATCGTCTAGTATAATCTCCAGGAGCGTACGATTGTTAGAGGGCGGAGTTTGGCGCCGCTTATTAGCGTTTCCCAAAATGGCATCGAGAGTCAAAGCGGCTGCCAGAGTGGTCCGGCCGTTATCGACCGCTGTCATTTGCTCAAACAGCTTTGGCCTCCGGCGACTACTCTCCATTGCATAAACGTTGCATAAAAAAAAAGGAAGAATAAAAATATACTAAAATTTATTGGGAGAAAGAGAAAGCCGAGTGTGGAACTGAGGGAGTTTATTTGGTTTAAAACAGAGATCTGAGTTAATAACCGTAATTAAAAGTTGAAATCATATTAATAAATATTAACATTGGATTCCTCTTATTGTAAAAAACGGAAACAACTGTGGTCAAAATGACGTGTACAGCTTTTCATTTCAATTTAAAGGCGATTTTCTCTATATATATATCACCGTCTACGATCAGGTACCATTTAGATTATATTTTTTGATCTAACACCATTTACAAAATATATTACTGTCTACGATCAGGTGTCGTTTAGATTATATTTTTTGATCTAACACCATTTACAAAAAGGTGTGCCCCTTACAGCGCGTTTAACGCTGATTTGACGCCACATGAGGTAAGGGACGCGTCTTATGCTGACATGAGATACACGTGTGTATAACGCAGCCCCTCGGGAGCGCCTTAGGCCACGTAGGGTATAGCGCATAACAGAGGTCGCGCCTTACCTGAGAATCTACCACGCGTCAGTAAGGCGCGCCCCCTGCAGTGTGCCTTAGGTATAATTATCCACATACCCCGACGTTTTACACCTCAATCTCTCTCTATAAATACTCTCATCCTCAATCACTTTCATCACACCAAATTCTCTCAATTTCTCTCAAATACTCTTATAATCTCTGTCTAAGGTATATTTTATTATATTTTAAATATATTGTATTTAATTTATTTAATATTTTACTTAATTAATTTTTTTGCAGATATAAAATGGAAGACGGTCTACTTCGCTTGGATGAAAATTATATATCTCGACACTTTGCTGATACGATAATATTTTAACATTTTAATTTAATTAAAATTATTAGTAATAATTTATTGATTTATTTAATACATGATTATTAGATTAAGAATTAATTTTTGTAATTATTTAATTTTAGGAGAATGACCGTGTATTAGATCCTTTTATTAGGAACATTAAGTTAGTGATACCTAGCCGTGTCTTGTCGTATTTAGTAGATGCTAGATTCGGTTACATAGGTAGGTATCAAGGTCACTGTAAGATAGAACCAGACCTTATTTCTGCCTTAGTAGAGCGGTGGAGGCCGAAAACCCACACATTCCATCTTCCGTGCGGAGAGTGCACGATTACACTTGAGGATGTTTATATGCACTTGGGGCTTTCGGTGGATGGAGATGTGATATTGGGGATCGCGCAGGGTTCCTGAACTGCTTTATGTCGGGATAATCTAGGACATGTCTCGGAAAGTTTTAACGGTGGTCGGATACCGTTAAATTGGTTAGATGCCAATTTTCGAGAGTTGAGCGAGGACGCGTCAGATGATGAAGTTAAAATATATGCACAGGCATGCATACTGCAGCTGATAGGAGGGTTGTTGATGTCGGACAAATCGCGCAACCAAGTATGTGGTTGCGACATCTTGTCGACTTTCGTGTGGTCGGATCACTCAGTTAGGGTTCGACAGTTTTGGCTTTCCTGTACAGAGAGATGTGTCGAGCCACTGACTACAGGCGTAATGCTATCGACGGATGTCTAATGCTGCTACAGTCTTGGGCATGGTATCGATTGCCCTTTTTATGTCCATTTGTGAAGAATTCATTCGTATTTCCGCTACTCTTGAGGTAATTATAAAACTGATTTCGTATATTAATCCTTCTATACAGTGTATAATAATTTTTTTCTTGAATAGGTGGTCTACTGACAGGAAAAATCATCATGAGCTACCTGATGATTTAGAAAAAATTAGGGTGCTAATCGATCATAAGGTTGGCACACAGGTATGAATTTTAATGTTTAAAAATCGATTTTAGATTATAGTTATATAATTAGATTATTATTTTGATAAAAATTATATATATTTGTTTTAGTTTGAATGGGTGTCATATTCTAATGATGATGTGAGGACGGTGATCCCACCTGAGTTGAGGGACCCATCAGATGTTTGGATGGCGATGGTCCCTTTGATCTGTTATGCGACCATCGAGTGGCAGTCCACTGATCGTGTGCTCTATCAATTTGGTTATTTTCAACCAATTCCGGAAGTACCTCGCAATATGGACGAGTTGCATAGCACATATAGATGCGACAAGACCGATACAGATTGGCTGGTGAGGCATCATGAGTGGGTCATGTTGTGGGAGGATCGACATCGGCGTCTTCCCCGTAGAGAGCCCATTTATGCTGATGACTTAACGGTTAGTGATGATTATTATGAGTGGTTCAACAGAAACGGGAAATCGCTTCTGCTTCTCGAGGATGCACGAGGGCGGACCTTTCCACGATGTCGACAGAGACGTTCACCGATATAACACCATCATCCCCCGACTCGTGGACAGAGAGCAGGTGCTTCCGGTTCATCATCAACTGCACCAGCAGGACCTTCACATCAGCCACCGTCTGCAGTGACTTACATACCGCAACCATATATGATGCTGTCACCTCCTTTCCATTACCAGATGTCGTCGTCGCCGCCTTCACTTAGTTTTATGACCCCGCCGTCGTCACCTTCATCGAGTTTTATGACCCCTCCTAGAGGTTATTATAGGTCTATGTTTGCAGATCCGACTTGGGGTTCATATGCTGGATATTTGGCGGGTTCAGCATCATCACCCATAACCGCAGCACATACACCTCTTGTACAGTTTTCACACTCAACGATGTATGGGTTTTATGAGTTTTCCCAGTTTTCGCAGGCCGATGGGATATTCAATCATACACCTCCAAGGTCCTTATTCTATGGAGGTGTTTCATCATCATCAGCTCCTCATCAACAAAATTTAACTGCTCAGGACGACGACGACGACAATGGTGATGATGATGACAGCGAGTAGTCACAACCAGTAATACGAAAAAATCCTCCTCGAGACCAACAGCCATCGCCCTGCAAAACACATTCGCATCGCATGCATCGATAGATTTTGTTTTTTTTTAATATTTGTATTTAGTACTTTTTATTGTAATTGTTTATTGGACTTTTTTATTGTAATTTTTTTTATTTATCATTTAATACTTACTTTAATTCATTAATATGGTTGGATTTTGTCGTAACCGATTTTCGCCCGAGCACAAAAATTTTACTTGGAGGGAAAAGTGATGTGAATAAATGGTTTTAAAATGTTTTGGGAGTCGCCATCGGCCTTTTGGGTCAGGTAGGTCGAATACCTAAAAATTATATTTTAAAAGAGTTTTTAAGAAAACATCAGTTAAAAGATAAACTGATATGCGTTTTAACCAAAAATTCGTTCCTTTTAATAATAAAAAGGGATTCGTGGTCGATTACGTTTGAGGAAGGATTAGCACCCCCACAATGCCCAAAATTGATACTTATTAATTATAAATTGTCTCTATTATTAGAAATTTAAATATTCAAAAAATATATTTAATTCATAATTCTGTTAAATTTATTAATATAATTTTAAGAAAATCTATTAATTTATATATATATAAATAAGATATTTATTTATTTAGAAATATCAGAAAATAACTTCTAGGTGCTTTAAGACAGCTCTTTTCTTAATATTAAAAAATAAATAAATGTTAATAAAACATTTATCTAAAAACAATTAAAATATATATATAATTTATAAAAGTAAATATTTATTTATTTAAAAATATCAGAAAATGGACATCTAGTTGCTTTAAGACTGCCCTTTTTTAATATTGAAAAATAAATATTAAAATATGATTAAAATAATTTATAAATAGGATTTTAATAGAAAATAAATAAAATAAATAAATATTATTTATTATATATATATTTATATGAATAAATAATAATAATAATAGTAATAATAATTAAATATATTAAAAATAAACATATAAAATTAAAATATAAATAAACAATGACTAAAATAAATAAAATTAAAACAATAGGTGTAAATAATAAAATAAAAACTTATTGTAAAAATAATTAGTGATTAAAATATAAAATATCTAAATTAAAGGCCCTTATTTGAAGTAATATAAAAATATAAAAACTAATAGTATAATTAACATTTCAATTCAAATAAGAATTAAAAATTCGAATGTTAATTATTTTAAATAATATTTCAGAAAAAATAAATGGAAAACAGATTGAAAATCATAAAGATTAAGATTTCATATAAACTCATTCTATAACCTCTAATCAGAGTATTCAAAATGAAAATTATGTAAGTTAAAAAAAGTCTGTACCTTCCATTTTACACGAATTAAGTTCTTCGTCCACTATTATAAATCTCTAATCAGAGTATTCTATAACCTCTAATTAGAGTATAAAAAGAAGGCGATTTTCCCGATATATCATCGGTGACTGGTAATATTACCGATCTAATACCGGTCAGAGTATATTTTCCGATCTAACACCTGTAGCAGTAAAATGTGCCTCCTGCACCGCGTTATACGATGATTTGGCGTCACGTGAGGTATAGTGCGCCCCCTGCACCGCGCTATACGGTGAGCTAGCATCACGTGGGTATAGCGCGGCCCCTGCACCGCGCTATACCTGTATATCTGACACGTGGGGTATAACGCGGTGCAGGGGGCACGCTATACCCCTAATTCATGTCCCCATCCTCCCTATAAATACCCCCATCCTCAATCACTTTTATCACACTAAATTTTCTCAAATTCCCTAAATTTCTCTCAAATACTCTCTTTTTAAGATATATTTTATAATATTTTTACTATTATATTTTTACTTTATTTAATATTTTACTAATATAATTCTTTTACAGATATATAATGGAAGGCAATTTACGTCGCTCGGATGGAAATCATATATCTCTACACTTTGCTGATACGGTAACATTTTAACGTTTTAATTTAATTTAAATTATTAGTAATATTTAGTTGATTCATTTAATGCATGATTATTAGATTAAGAATTAATTTTTGTAATTATTTATGTTTAGGAGAAGGACTGTGTATTAGATCATTTTATTAGGAATCTTAAGTTAGTGATAC